AAATGGTGATTGGAATATATTGTCACCAATATTGTCACAATCCTTATGATGTATTAGAAAAAATTACTGTACTGGGGAAATTGCAGGGTAAAATATGAATAATATACACAGAATCAGTCACTATTTTGTCTAATGCAGAGGCCTGCTGCCCCTAGTTCCCCACCCAGGAAAACAAGGAATCCTCCACATATTCATGGCAGGAGAGAGCGTAGGACAAACATGGTAATGGGCACTTCTGCATGGCACTCTCTCCTGCCATGAATATGTGGAGGATTCCTTGCTTTCTTGGATGGGGGTTGGAGGCAGCAGCACAGGGGGCATAGCCAGCGCCTTTCATTAGACACTATGATGCCAGATTCCGTGGATATTATTCATATTTTACTTTACAATTTTCTTATACATTTCATGCCCTCCCCTGCTTAGTAACAAATACAGTATTACCTTCACAACTTTATAAAGAAAAATATGTGCAGCATGTAATACTTTGGTATACATTTGCAGGCAAATGTAATGGCACTATGATAATCAAAGAGGAAAACTACACTTTCTACCACATGAAATAATTTGCATATGCAGAAAATAATGCCTCAACTCATACTGTGGCAGATGCCAAGAAACATCCTCCAGTGATTCCTTATTTGATAACAAACTATCAAGGTGTGTAATGTTTATTATAAATTTTAAGTAATATTCTATTTTGCATTGCCATTCAAGCTTGCAATTATTACTCCTTTTTTTAATCATGCACATTGCAACATGCATGAATCCATTGTTGTTTTCCATTGCAAATCATATAAATGAGTTTTTTTGGTACCTGTTTACAAAGTGATCTTACCCCTCTGATGGTAAGTTCCAATTACTCCAGCCACTTTTGGAAAATCCACAAACATTGCCATATGAACTAATAATGTCCTTAATCTTGTGAGCTTCACCTCATCCAATCAACGTATTTCCCTATAGAGAGCTCTGCCCCCGTACCTCCACCTCATTGCTGTGGATTTGTTTTGTAGGAAGCATTTGTTGTGACCTATTTTCGTAATTTTTGACATTATTCTTTCTCACAGATTATTTTATGTGTCGATGAGTGTATTTTTCTCCTTTATAATATTGTCATTAAATATCCTATACGTTTACCAGTGTTATGTGATGCACACTTTCTTATCATCTACTTGTAAAGAAAATACCATGGGTGAAAAGTGTCCTTTTACAGTCATTTTTAGAGGCAAAATTTACGTATATGGCTGTGGGAAACTGAAGCTATACCAGAATTTCACAAGCAGTAATTTGGATACATACAACAACAGCAAGGTAATATGGGCAATTTTTAATTATCATTTGGTATGGTTGGAAGCATTTGAGTGGGGTGAGGCCTTTCTGATTGGATTATTGAAATTGTTCACCTTGTGGGTGATGGCAGAATACTTACATGTGTCTGACTACCCTTTACTAATATATGTAGGAATTATACAGTGGAACTGCCCTCCCTTATCTCACAACCTTCTTAGGGATTGGGAGGTTGCAGGGGCACAGTCCCCTCCAATAGGTGATTTTGTGACCTACTGCATATATTTCTTTCATGTTTTACTTCACAATTTCCATAGTAACCTCCATGCCCTCCCCTATTATTGGGGCCCATTTTATTAGGTAATGGGTGTTTCTGTGACAAAATTTTTACATGTATAAGTAGTAAAGGGTGAGAGGAACATTGTAATCTTGGGAGCATAGGTATTCATAATTTTTCTAATGCCTTTTACTATTGTGTATGGAAATTTTAAATTTTGTATGCTGTACAAAAATGGCAGTTTATCAAACCATAAGATTAATAACTAATTATTTTATATGTCATTTCCCACTATAACTGCTGCAAATACTCCCAAATCTGGCTGCAGTTAACAGTTGCTGTTTTTTCTTCTTCTTGATAATGGTTAATATAAGATGGTCATGTGAAAATTGATGTTGAAATTTAATTGGCACAAATACCATAATGATAAGCTTCAGTAAACAAATCTGCTCTTTATAGATTCTAAACTTGAGCATTACTTTTCATACAATGATTGAAAGTATATGTCCTTCCTCAACATTTGGAAGCAAATTAAATTTTCCTAAATAACTATTCATAAATACTAAAATTCTCATATGTACCATAAGTGTTATGTGCAGCATGTCAACATACCCAGCAACTGGGAGAGTGACATTTCATATGGGAAATGGATTTGCATTTGCATTTTCTGTGAATGTCACTGACAGTTAAAAATTATGCATAAGCTACTTGACACTACACATATATGTCAATTTGTACTAAAATGGGCCTATATGTTTTTGTTATTGGCAGTACAGTCAAGCCTGTAAATTAATGTTAAGTCATACTGTAAATTGTCACAAAGATCAGTTGAAGTAGATAATTCAAGACGTTGTAAGTTCTCACTTGGAGATTATCTAATTTTACATCAAAAGAAAAGGAAATAGATGCCAATATTTATAGAGGGGATAGTATGAACATTGGTGAGTGACAGAATTCTGCAGTTGTCGAGGTATGCAAGCCTAATAAACTTTAATGTTGCAGCATATGATCAGATCGATTCTAATTTACATTAAGCGAAATAGTAACCTCTGCTAACCCAATGCTGCCAGGGATGCACATGCTAAACCCACTGTATGTTGTTTATTAATGGTATTACATATAGATGGCTTGACAAGTGCATTGTCGCCAAGGAGTCAATTATTTATTCATTGCTGTTGCTATTGCTAATTATTATTTTGTCAATGATTAAAATAACATCAGTCTTAATAGCATTAGAAAAAAAAAAAATCTGAATACTCAAGGAAATGGGAAGTTGCAAAAGTCTACCAGTTGACTTTTTGGTGGCTTTGCAATTGTGAAGCTATCTGTGTGTAAACACATTTAACAAAACATTACGACAGTGAACATTACATGTTTCTGGTGACATTGGATTAAATAGAGTATCTTCTTGAAATATACTGGCTAATTTAAAAACTGTAGTTGTGACATTATGTGTTAATATTCACTTTTCTTTCAGACTAAACAATGCCTTATAAATTAAGGATATCTGAGGAGGAGGTACGGGCAGAGTTAATGAAATTAGGCTTCACAAACTTACCAGATGAAACAGTGGAAGTTTTTCGTCGAGGTTAGTACTTATTTACTCTGGCATCTCTGATATTTATGTGGTGATTATAATTTAGCTTGGTTCATAAAGCAGCTCATGCAGTTGGGTTTAACCCAATATCACTGGGAAAATGTGATGTTCATTGTAGCATTGTTTTGTGAAATATATCTACACAGAGATGGCTCCAAGGCTATTAGTAGCCTAGGTGCTCACACCTGATTTTCCCCTTCATTGATTTTTCTCTTTTTCTTTTTTTTTCTTGTTCTTTTTCTCCTCCTCCACTCCTCCTCTTCTTCCTCTTCTTCCTCTTCTCCTCTTCTTCTTCTTCTCCTGTTCTCTCTTCCTCTTCCTCTTCCTCTTCCTCTTTCCTCTTCTCTTCCTCCTCCTCCTCTCTCTCTCTCCTCTCCTCCTCCTCTCCTCCTCCTCCTCCTCTCCTCCTCTCTCCTCTCCTCTCCTCCTCCTCCTCCTCCTCCTCCCCCCTCTCTCCCCCCTCCCCTCACCAAATAGCAGTGCTATTATTATTATTACTAACCTTATAATTAATAAATTGTTAACAATGCTTATTTCAATATAAAATCAAATAAGAGATTTATGAAAATCAAAGAAAAGAATAAAGAGGTGAGGAGAGTCGATTAGGGATGACTTGTGACTAAGTATTTCTGAACCCATCTGTCTGTAAATACAACTGATAAGCTAAACTTAAGGGTACCATCAGGTGTTTTTTTTATATAAAGGGACATTTTCAGTAAACTATCTCACTTTTATTAGATTTTTTAGCTCTTTCTTTGGTTTCTTTGCTGTACTTCATTTGCTTATTGTACATCTTTCAGACCTCCTCAAGCTGATTAAAAGTGACCTCCGTAAGCTTAGGCAGGATAAACAGCTATTGGAAGGCTCGAGAGAAGAGACAACCTACTTGAGCCCCCCTGTTACATTAGGGAAACATGGTCACCCTCGAGAGAAAACAAAGCGGCCAGAAGCATCAACGCCTCTCTCCCCTGGAAGGCCAGTGAGTTCAACAAGGCTGAGTAGTAAGGTTTCTAAGCATCTGAATGCTGACAGGTATGTGGGCATTGGAGAGAATGTGCATGTGTAGAAAATATTGAAGAAATAATTTTATTAAGCTGATAATAATAATAGTACAAAAAAACTTAATAGAATAATCATGATAAAATAATGAAAATGATTTCTAAGAATTTGTTTTCTTAAATTTGAATTGAATATAATACTCCAACAAGCATATTTCAATCAATATGAGTGTTCTAGTGCAGGTTTTGTATCAGGATTGATGTAAAATTTCTCAACATTTTTAGTGCTGATTCTTAGTATTAGGGGTCATCAGGTTTCTGCATGTCCTAAAGTAAAAAGGATTTATAATCTAAAATATAAAATCATAAGTTTGAATTTGCTATTACTATTACCATTTAATATATTTATCCCTTAATATACCACCTTGACATTTCAGTACAACTTCATGTGCAAGTGATGAGGATACTACTGTAGAAAGTGGATACTCAGACTTTGAGAGTGAGTCTTCAAGGCCATCCTACTCCTCAGAGGAAGTGGACGACTCATCCTCCTCTATCTACCTAACAAGAAGAAATGGCCAAGCAGGAGCCAGATCTCAGACAGTTGACCCATCAGCCAGGCGAGGAGCTTTTCCCCCACTGCAAAGAGAATCCAAGGACTCAGCAGAAGACTCACATCAAGAATCCCAGGAGTCAGCCTTTGATTCACACAAAGTGACAGAAGACTCATCAGTAGATTCTCATAGAGGGTTCAAGGACTCTGCCATTGCAGCCCCAAAGAGCTTGGCTAAGGAGAAGCAGGAAGTTGCAGTCAGACCTAAGAAAAAGCCTGTGAAGGCTGCTGGTAAGCAATGTGTTAATTATACTTAGTGGGGTATTTTTTGTATTTTTTTGTGTAAATTGTCTTTTTTTTTTTTTTTTCTTTTTTTTAGATTTTTTGTCTAAATCAGGGAATCTCAAACTTTTTATCTCATTGAACCCATATGTAGTTTTAATTTTTCTATCAAGCCCTTAGCTTTTAATTCAAGGAGAGAGAGAAAAAAATATAATAAAATCAGTATCAGTACAATATCATACTGATTGAAAGGAAACCACAGCCATTATGTCTGCTACATATAATTTACATTTTCAAGTCACAATATTCAATTTACAGACAACACTTAGAGCTGGAAGTGTGCAAATGACTGGCTCTCCTGTATGCAAGGGATATGTGGGTGTGGTGGGGGATAAGCTCACTTGCTAATTATGGGATGCAGACAGGCATATATTCTGTACAGAAAGCAAAGCTGTAAGAGACAATGAAAGGGGGGGGTGAAGGTAGAAAGTAGTTACCAGAGCTTCTGAAATTTAAAGATTTTATTTATTTATATATGTGTATATATATATATATATATATATATATATATTATATATATATATATATATAATATATATATATATTGTATATATGTATTATATATATATACATATAATATACTATATGTATATATAATTAGTATGTATGTTATTATTTACATATATGATTATATGTATATTATATATGTAGTAGTATACATTATATATACCTGTAGCTTATATATACCATATATATATGTACTACTATATATATAAATACTATATATAGCACATATAATGTATGATAATATATATATATATAGTGTATAATATATATACATAAATATAATTATATATATATGAATGTATATATACAATATATAATATATGAATTATACTGTGTTATAATATATATCGTGTGTTCTACATATTATTATATATATATGCATATGTATAGTATTGTATGTTGTAGTGTGTTATACTGTGTATATTATTATAGTATATAGAATATACTTATATATTGATAATTATTATACTATATATATGTTGTGATGTTATTATATCCAATCGCTGATACCAGTGTGTATGATCATATTATGTAACAATTGTGTAGTATTATATATACTACTATATGTCTATATATATACATACTAATATATATACTAGTATAGTTATCTCATCCGATTACTATGTCGTTAATTATTAATTCATAATATATATAAACGACTGCCCTAGTTATACTATACATCAATATATATTAATATTATATAAGTCATATAATATATCTATATTGTAACTGTATTATAGATACATTACATACTATATTATTTGTATACTATATATGTATCATAAATATTGGATTTTATACTATCACTAAGTATACATGATACACATATATACATATATATATACTATTGCTTCATATTATAACTATAATACTATTAGTTATGTTGTGTTTATACTATATAATATATATATCCCATAATTATGTACATTAGCTATATATATGTATATTGATGTATTACCTATATATGTGTCACTCGTATATACTATGTATTAATTATATAAATAATCACATAACTATATTATCACATATATATATTCCAGTTTATATCCATTATATATGTATACTCTATATACTGTCTATATATAAATACCATATCTTATTATACACTCATATTATAATAATATATATTATATGTATTTAAGCAATATACATACATCCTGATATAATCATATAACATAATTCATATATACGTCATATATTCATACTATATTATATATATACTACACATGATATATACATATATATTACATTGATATACGATTATTAATTATAGTAATACATAAGTATATATATATAGTATAGATATAATATACATATATATTACTATACATATATACTATATCCTCCATTCTCATTATACTATATAATTATTTATATAATATCTATAAACATTTATATATATATATGGTATTATTTATAATAATGTAATGTGGTCAATATACTATCTAACATATATACGTATTATATATATATATATATCTATTATATATCTGTGTATACTATATATATATATACACACATATTGTGGTATGTGTTGAACAATATTATATGTGGTGTTATTATATATACTATATCTATCTGCTATATTATATATGTTACGATATACAATTAATAATAAACTATATATATATACATCAACGTATGTTAACGGTAATATAATATACTAATATATAGTTAGTATACTAGCGCTATATATATGGTGTAATATATATATATATAATCTAGATATATACCACATATGTTATATACTATAGTAATGCGTAGTATTATATATATATTATATTATATATACCTATAATATACATATATCCTACTATACATATAATACAATATACGTGAAGCTACTATATATAACTATTAGTCATATTATAACTAGTATATATCATATATATTAGTTATCACTACTAACACTTAACTTATTATATTATATACCTATATTATCAATATACACAGTCTAACTAGTCATATATAGTACAGATCTGGGCTATCTACTACTATATATACATTACTACTTATACTATAATAATTAGCTATATATATGTATACCTATATCATAATACTTATATACTTTATATATACACGTTTATATATATATACTGTATGTATACATATTATGTATATTAGTATACTTACCTGCTAATATATATTATTATATGTGATATTATTATAGTATATCATACTATATATATATACTATTATATATTAAACATGTATATATATACTAGATACTTATTATGTTGTATACATATGACTATATATAGTATTATTATTATAACAGTTGATATAAATACTCTATTAGAATTGTGTAGTGTGTGTGTGTGGTCTGTGTGATATATCACTATACATTACATCATCATCGATATATTATATACATTACAGTATAAGTATGTATAATAATATATATTATACATATATGCTATAGTATATAGAATATTATATATATAATTATACATATATATTCTATACATATATTTATATATATAATAATATACATATAGTTATAATATATGTGTAGATGGGCTATATAATATATATGTAACTATTATATATATGTATATATATCGTGTACTACTTATACTATATAAGTTTGTGTGTATGTATATATTAGTATGCTGTATATAGTATATATATTATATAGCTAATAACATATATATATGTATATATATACATATTTATAATGTATATATATACATTATATTATATGTATGTATCTGTTAGTAATAGACTGTAGTGAGTGAGTTATAGCATGTACTATCTATATATATATATCTTATATAATACACATATTAATGTTATATATACATATACATATAATTATATATGTATATATATACATAATATATTATACATATAGTATATATACATATACAATATACTTATAACTATATATAATTATATATTAACATAGAGTAGCTACTATATTGCTATACTATTATATATATAGGTATATTTAGCTACTACATATATTTATATAATATACATATATATATTATTACACCATATATTATATAAAATACATAATATATCTATATTATACATATTATATATATATATAGTATAATATAATACTATATATAGCTACACACACACACACCACCACACACACACACTTATATATACTATTATATATATATATACTATACTTATATAATATATTATAGTTATATAATATTATATACCCACACACACCACACACACACCACACACACACACCACACACACCACACACACACACACACACACACACACCACACACAACACCACACACACAACACACACACACACACACACAATACACACACACACACATACTTTATATACTTATTATATATATATCTATATATATATACTACTATAATACTATAGTATATGTTGTAATGTATGATATGTAAGTATATAATTTATATATATATATTGTAGTATATATAAATATTATATATAGTATATTATATATATATAATGTTATATGTGTTGTATATAGTATATATATGTATAATATTATAGTATATTATATAAATATTATATACTATAATTATCATAATATATGTTATATATAATACATATATGGATGTGTATATAATATATTATACATAATACACCTCTATACTATATATATATCTATACTATATATATATATAGATATATATAGTATAGATATTAGACATATATCAGATCTATTTTATCCTATACACTATAAAGTTAATATCATATATATATAACATATATACAATGTGATGTCATATATGTATACACTTTATTATATAAATATATATATATATTTATTATTATATATATATATATATGTTGATTTCATATATTATATATTTTATAGTGTTTTTTTAATATATTATATAATGTGTAGTTATATATGTTTAGTATATATAATATATATAATATATATTATATTATTTACTAGACTTATATACTAATGGTAATACTTGTGTGTGACTGTGTGCTATATATATATATGTTAGTGACTATATATGCGTGTCTATATTGTATAGTATATATATTATATATATTATTATATATATATGTATATTATATATATCTATATACTATATATATGTATATATATATACATAACATATTCATATATATGCTATGATATACATTATATGTATAATGTGTTTTTATTATTATTTATATTATATACATTATATATATACAGCGTTATATATATAAAACCTCGCTTATACTATATTATATATGCTATATACTATATACTATAATACTAGTATATACCTACTATTACTTACCCTATACTAATACTATATATATATATATGTATATAATATAGTATAGTATATATACTATATATGTATATATATATATCCGATACAGTATAGTATATATTGTTATTATATATAATGTATATGTACTATAATATATTATACATGTATATACTTAATACGATATCGCATACTACTATTATAAGCATA